AGTAAATTTGCTAATGACACTAAAATAGGATGTGTAATTAAATCTGACGAAGACTCCGCAAAACTACAGGAAGATCTAAACAAATTTTTCGAATGGTCTGAAAAATGGCAGATGAAATTCAATGTGGACAAATGTAAAGTACTCAGTATAGGAGATGTAAACAGGGAAACTAGTTCCCAGTTGAACAACGATGCCATTGAGAAATCCGACTGCTAGCGAGATTTAGGAGTAATGATAAGTAGAAACCTTAAGCCAAGTAAACAATGTGTTTTTGCTCGTAACAAGGCTAATAAAGTACTTGGGTTCATACAAAGGAGTGTTAGTTACAAGACTAGCAAGGTCATCCTAAAACTGTATCCTGCTCTTGTGAGACCGCACCTGGATTACGCAGTTCAGTTCTGGTCACCGTATTACAGAATGGATATAGAATCCTTGGAAAGAATTCAGAGGAGAATGACAAGACTAATCCCGGGCATTAGGAACCTTGAGTATAGAGACAGGTTAAAGGATCTTAATTTGCACTCCCTTGAGAGACGTAGAGCGAGGGGCGCCCTGATAAAGGTGTATAAGTGGAAAGCAGGGCTAAACAAAGGGGACATTACAAAGGTACTCAAACTATCCAACCAGGAGCGAACTCGTAAAAATGGTTTTAAATTAGACAAATTTAGATTTAGGCGTGAAATAGGTAAACACTGGTTTGGAAACAGAGTTGTGGATGAATGGAACAAGTTACCAAATATCATAATTAACTCGAATACGCTGAATTGTTTCAAACATAGGTTGGATGCTCATATGAGCAATAGGGGTTGGGTGTAAACGGGACTGCCCAGTATGGGCCAATAGGCCCGCTGCAGTTTCCTCCATTCTTATGTTCTATATATATATATATATATATATATATATATATATATATATATATATATATATATATATATATATATATATATATATATATATATATATATATATATATATATTTTGACAAGCATACAGAGGGAAAAGGGAAAGAATGGTACACCTTAGCTTTCGTCTTTATTCAAGACATCTTCAGAGGCAACCGAGTTACATGGACAGAGAGAGGCTTAAATACCCAGGGTGACCTTACCAAACATGAAGTCAGGTCATAAACATTACATCCACTAATCCGCACACCAACACCACCACACACGCAAAGGAGCTTAAGAAAAAGGGCGACGTGACTAGTCAAGTTAAGTCAGATAAGAAAATAAGGGACCCACTAATCATCTATCCTACGTCTAACGCCAATGCCTTAAAAGCATTTTTAACCTTGGGCCACTGACAAAAAAATTTGTGTAACATATTATCAGTTTTGTACTGACCATCACTCAGTACAATATAACAACCTATGCATTATGGGGGATTTCAACTTCAGAAATATTGACTGGGACAACATTGTAGGCGACTATGAATCTGAAGACTTCCTAGACGCAGTACAGGACAATTTTTTGAAACAACTAATTACAGAACCTACTAGAGGTGACAATATATTAGACCTAGTATTAACAAATAAAGAAAATATTATCAGAGATATCACAGTAGGGGAAGAACTAGGTAACAGTGATCACAGAGAAATCAGGTTCACCCTAAATTGGGAAACGAAAAACAATGACAATATGGTCAGAGTCCCAAACTTTCGGTTGGCGGATTATCAGGGGTTAAGAAGGTACCTAGGTGAGGTCACCTGGGAAAAGTCACATCAGTCACCAGTAGGAAGGAGTGAGGTCATAGATGACATAACCATTGATCATGACTATAATATATTCACTAGTATACTACATAAAGCACAAGAACAAAATATACCATACAGAAAAATTAGGTCAAATAAGAATCAGCCAAGGTGGATGAGCAGAAAACTAAAACATGACATAGGAATAAAGAAAGGAATATATAAGAAATTAAAGGGAGGGGAGGAGCAGCTCAGAAATAGGTATAATGAACTATCTAGGAATGTTAAGAAAAGTGTAAGGAAAGCAAAGAGAGATGTAAGGGCGGAAACGATCCTCCGGCTGGTTACCGCTGCTAACTCGCTCGTTTGCTGGTGCAGACGACACTTGGGGTGGTTGGACGGAGGTGAGAACTGCAGCGACTATCTGCGCCACCGGCAGATTCAACCCAGCCGCCATACCGTCAGTATCTAGCTACCCTGCTGTCCGTCAAATTCTGGCTGTGATCTCATCATAGGTCCTGGACTCGTGGGCTGTGTTCCCAGACCTTCACCTATCAACTGCCAACTCTCTGGTCATCTACCACTACCGCATACCACGACCATCAGTTCAACACATTCCGTCGGTGCCCCGGTGTTCTCCTGCCTTTTCAAGACGTCGCTGAGTGTGGAGTCGAAGTGGACGTTTCGTTACCCGGAGTGTGCATCACCGTGTTCCAGAACCTTCCCCCAGGGCCACTGCCGTAGGAAATATTTGTTCATGGTTTGATTCTATAATTGTTTGATTCCTTTAAGTGTTTGCTTCCTTTAATTGTTTGACTCCCGTAATTATTTGATGTTTGTTGAGTGGTGTCAGAGTTTTGTGTTATATTTTTATAGTAAAGAGATGCCAATCTCAAACGGTTGTTTGTTATTCCTCAGAAAACCATGGTCCTTGACTTTCCTTTATTAAGATCCTGATTAGCCTGGTAAGGGATTTCTATCCCTAAGTCCCAGGCCTTTACAAGAGACTATGAAATCAAAATAGCAAGAGAATCCAAGGCAAATCCCAAGGGATTTTTCCAGGTATATAGGACAAAGGTCAAGGACAAACTTGGGCCTTTAAATTCAAGGAGGGGAGAAGTGATAAATGGCAGTGAAGAATTATGCAAAGCATTGAACAGCTACTTCTTATCAGTTTTCACAGAAGAAATTTGAGATGAAATTCCAGAGGTGGAACTGATATTTAAGGGAAATGAAGAAGAGAAATTAAAGAATATCACTATCAGAAAAGAGGATGTTCTTAAGAAGATAAAAAAACTATAGAAAACAAAATCCCCAGGGCCGGATGAAATTTTCCCTCGAGTCTTGAAAGAGTGTAGGGAACAGATTAGCCGACCCCTCGTAAACTTATTTACAAATTCATTCGACACTGGAGTTGTGCCAGACTTGTGGAAACAGGCAAATGTAGTACCCATATTCAAAAAGGGAGACAGAGCATCAGCGTCAAATTACCGGCCGATCAGTTTGACGTCAGTAGTGGGGAAATTTCTTGAATCAATTATAGCAGATAGCATCCGATCGCATCTAGAGAAAAGCAAATTAATCTACGACTCTCAACATGGGTTTACAAAGGGAAAATCTTGTCTAACAAATCTGCTAACGTTTTTTAGGAAAGTCTTCGAGGTAGTAGATAATGACGAAAATTACGATGTTATTTACTTAGACTTTAGCAAAGCATTTGACAGAGTACCGCATCAGAGGCTTCTGAGAAAAATTAAGGCTCATGGTATCGAGGGGAAAGTTTTAAATTGGATAAAATCATGGCTCACCGATAGAACGCAGAGGGTCAGCGTAGATGGTGTTAAATCTGAGTGGGGCCGTGTAACCAGTGGGGTTCCCCAGGGGTCAGTACTAGGCCCACTCTTGTTCATAATCTACATAAACGATCTAGATACTGGGATCAGCAGTGACATAAGCAAGTTTGCGGATGACACCAAAATAGGGCGGCAAATTAATTCAGGGCAGGATGCAAATGAATAACAGGAGGATCTAAATAAACTGCAGGGGTGGTCTGAAAAATGGCAAATGAAATTCAACACCAGCAAGTGCAGCGAACTTTATATTGGAAGAACAAATACTTATAGTATATACAGCCTTAACAACATCAACCTAGAGAAGTCGACTTGTGAAAGAGACCTAGGGGTACTTGTAAGCCCGGACCTACAGCCTAGAAAACAGTGCGTTAATGTTCGAAATAAGGCAAACAGAGTATTGGGTTTTATATCTAGAAGTGTAAGTAATAAGAGTGCAGAGGTCTTATTGCAGCTATATCTTGCGCTAGTCAGGCCGCACCTCGATTATGCGGTTCAGTTCTGGAGCCCCTATTATAGAAGCGATATAAATTCACTAGAGTCGGTGCAGCGAAGAATGACAAAAATGTTTCCGGGTCTTAGAAACCTTCCATATCAGGATAGGTTAAAGAAACTTAACTTGCATTTCCTAGAAAGACGAAGAGTGCGGGGAGATATGATAGAAGTATTTAAGTGGGTGAAAGGAATCAATAAGGGGATATGGATAAAGTTCTTATAATATCCGAGCAGGATAGGACTCGGAACAACGGATTCAAGTTGGATAAGTTTAGGTTTAGGAGGGAGATAGGAAGAAACTGGTTCACAAATAGGGTGGTGGACGAGTGGAACAAGCTTAGCAACTTTGTAGTAAGTGCTGGAACTCTGGAAAGTTTCAAAAGGATGCTTTTTAGATTCATGGATGATAGAGAGTGGTAGTAACTCTCGACAGGAGCTGCCATACACAGGCCAACCGGCCTATTGCAGACTCCTTATTTTCTTATGTTCTTATGTTCTTATCAAACTAGCTTCAACCTGAAGTCTTTCTGTGACACATGGTGATTTATACATTTCTAAGCTGTTTTTCCAATCCATGGGATGATTATTGTTCCTAACATGAACGAACAGTTCACTGTTTTCAGATGTTGTTCTAATCTTGTACTTGTGCTGTTTAACTCAGTTGCAATGCTTTCCCAGTCTGACCTTCATAATTCCCATTACAGTTGCTATATGGAATTCAGTAAACACTTCCATTTACATTCAGTGTTGGGCTATTCTTGATTAATATATTGGTAATGGTTGAGTCATACTTAAAAACAACATTAATATTCAATAATTTAAGGGAATGAACTAACGGGACAAATTAATTGCGATAAGGCAGAGTCAAAATATTCTTAAGCGTAGGAATTTGCCTGTTTTGAGTAGCCCTTTTAAAACAATGATCAACAAACAATGAAGGGTACCCAAGTATATTAAAAAAAACTCACTTGAAAAATTGGATGCGTCCACCTTGATCAGCGATGGCCCACACGTTGCCAACGCCGCCCAGGTCGATACAACAGATGATCACCACCACCAGGACCCCGCCAAACATGACCAGTGTCTGTAACACATCTGTGTACACCACAGCCTTCGTACCTCCCTGAGGGGCAAAAATATTACATCATGGTCATATGAAGAATACTGCCTTTTTCATATCCAATGCACATCTCATTATCATGCTTACTAATTAGTCTCACAGTAATGCTCAATAATTGCATACTCAAAAGAATAAATTTGATGCACCTCTTCTCAATTTGTTTTAAAATATTTACATCACCAAGACTCCACTAAATTTTGATAGATTTTTATAATTTATTTTTTTGGGAATCCTTAAGTTTCTCTGCCCAATCAGTCCAAGTAGCTACTTCATAAGTTTATTATTCTATTTTTTTCACGTGTTTCTTTTGAGCGGCTGAAATAATTTTAGATACTTCGTAAAGTACCCTCATAATCCAAGTTGCTCATTCATAAGCTTTTTCATTTCTTACTTAATTTTCAAACATTTGTTTTTCTCAGACAAAACTTGCTAGGTTTCGGAGGCACACTACCAACAAGCGCAGGAGGAAATTAAGTTAAACCTTTAGTTGATGATAATCTAACTGTAACATCTAGATATCGTCTATAATACCTATCCATCACTGGTCTAAGATATGATTTTTTTTATTGAATTAGGAAACCAATTAATTTGTCTATTAGATATAAAATTAGGAATAATCAATGGGATGAAAGAGTAGTTCACCTTCATTATGGTAAGCTATAGTTTTTCAAGCCTCTCGTTTCCTTTGATCCCTACAGCTGAAGACAAGGGTACAGAGTCTGCCAAAGGCTTGAGATGCACATCTGATCCAATGTTGAATCTCTTCATCGATGTCCGAAGTGGTGGACAGGTGGGAGCCGAGATATCGAAGTGGGTAACATAGAGAGGGTAGTACCGTTAAGCTGGATTGATGGTGGAGGTGTGGCTGAACCAGGGGCAGGTTGAATGAGAATATAGGTCTTACGTACATTCACCTCAAGAGTGAAGTGTGTATACGCATCGTGCGTAGGTGTTCAGGATCCCCTGTGGGTGGCATTCAGCGTGAGCAATGAGGGCGAGGTAGTCTGCACACTGAAGTTCAGTAATGGAAGCTGCCGATACGTTTGTTTCTGCCTGGAGTCGTATTATGTTTAAAAGACCCTTCATCCGGTACTCATTAATGGTTACCCATTGGCGTCAACAGGCCACAAGCTAGGCCCGTTGAATTTAAAAGCCGCTGGTTATGTCATGTTTCGCCACATTGTACTAAAAGATGGAGTGGAGTGCTCGAAGTGTGTTTTCTGTTAAGAGATACTCTCCAATGAATGTTAGAAACCATCGAAACCACAAAGACACTTCCAACAGAAACACCTCACTAAGGCCATAAAATCTGTTGAGTTCTTCAAACGAAAAGAATCATCACTAGTCAGACAGGCAAATACATTCAGACAGCAAGCCAGAGTTCCTGAGAGGGGACTCAAAGCATCCTCTTTAGCTTCCTTTCGTATTGGTAACGATAAGAAACCACATATAATCAGGGGAAATTTCCTGTTACCAGGAACCAGAGACATTGTTCAGGAGTTATTTGGGAAGAATGCCGCCAAGCAAGTCGATGTGGTGCCCTTATCGAACAATACTGTGAGTAGAAGGATACATGACATGGCCGAGGACGTCACTGTACAACTTTTGGAGTAAGTGAGAGCCAGTGAGTACTTTACATTGCAGCTGGACGAGAGCACAGACATCGCAAACGAAGCACAGCTGCTTGTGTATATCAGATTTATCAGTGAGATTTATTGAAAAATACAGGGCAGGACATTGTTCGGATCTTAGATGAGTACATGGAGTATAATTCAATTGACTGGTCTCGTTGTGTGGGTGGGTGTACTGATGGCGCCGCTGCTATGATAGGTAAAAGTAAAGGAGTCGTTGCCTTCGTAAAAGCTAAAGCCCCAAATGTCGTCAACACACTGCATGCTCCATCGTGAGGCACTTGTTGCAAAATGCATTGCTGATGAATTGCATCAGGTTCTGTAGGTTGTTGTGAAACTAGTGAACTATGTAAAAGCACACCCTCTGAAACACAGACTGTTTGAAACACTTTGCCATGAAATGGGGGCTGACTTTGAGGTCTTGCTGCTCCACTCTAAAGTGCGCTGGTTATCACTTGGGACAGTTTTGAATCGTGTGTTTACCCTACAGAGAGAGCTGGCTGACTTTGTTTCATCGGAGAAGTCAGACTTTGGTAGCTGTTTCGAGGATGAGTCATTGATGATGAAGTTAACATATCTAGCAGACGTCTTCCAGCATCTAAATGTACTAAACCAGAGCATGCAAGGCCGTGAAGTATGCATTTTGTATGTGCAGGACAAACTTCGTGCATTCACGCAAAAAGTTTTCCTATGGGAAAGTAAACTCCAGGAAGGAGTCACTGAAATGTTCCAACTTTATCACCAGGAATGTATGACGTCCAGTGCAGACAGCATCACGCCCCTTATTATTTCCCATCTAGCGCATCTGCAAGACTACTTCAGGGACTGTTTTCCCTGACCTTGACAACTCCCACCTGAACTGGATTAGAGACCCTTTAGCAGTCGGGGTAAGTCCACATGTTGATCTGAAGACGCAAAAGGAACTCATTGAAATGTTAATTGAGGGGGGTATGAAAATCAAATCTTATGCCCATCCACTGTCAGAGTTCTGGATCTACGCAAGAAATATTTTGCCCTGGCTGAGAAGGCTCTGAAATACCTTTTGCTATTTGCTACAATCTACTTGTGAGAGGCAGGATATTTTACAGGCCACGCCTGCAGGTGGACAACAACATGCGTCTGGCACTCACTAATATCAAGCCCCGCATTGACAAATTCTGCAAGAGCCACCAAGTCCATCCACCCCACTGGACAGGATATGCCTGGTAGCCTGATTTGTGTTTATTTATGCACTTTTTGATATGAAGGTAAATTTGTTTACTTTGGGTTTTGGTGGTGCCACGATATTGTGTTTGTGCATTGTGGTTGTGTTTGTACAGAATTTACATTGCTTTGAATTTAAAACATCAATACAAACATTAAAAAGGAAAATGGTCTTATTTATTACTAATTACTTCATGTAAGAATAAGTAAATATTACATGTATAGGGTGGATAATTATTTTACTTTATTTTTTTTTTTAGGTGGGGGTCCTCGACTGGGGCTCATCTTATTTTGGGGTCCTTGATATGAAAAAGTTTTAGGAACCCCTGGCTAAAGCCACATTGAAATTATGGCAGGAAGTTTTCCGCCTCAGGAAGAAGTCTGTTCAGAAGGACTCAGGCGATAATCTTGCCAGCTACGGTGAGCAGCGATATCCCGCAGTAGTTACCACAGTCTGACTGGTGTCCCTTGTCCTTATAAATATTAACGATGGAGGCGTCTTTAGAGCTTGCAGGATTTCCTCCTTTTCCCATATATTCTCCAGGAGAGAGCGGGGACAGCTGGTTAGCAGAGGTCCTCCTGTTTTATACACCTCGGCTGGGATTCCATCAGGCCCTAAGTCTTTGTTATTCTTTTTTCTGTTTGATGGCAGTAGCTACCTCATCCAGGGATGAAGGATAGCTGAGGTTGGCCAGCTCTGGATGCTGAGGGACCTGCTGGGTAGTCAGGACATTCATATCGGTTTTTGGTTGAGCAGTGATTGGTAGTGCTCTTTCCAGCGCTGAAGGAGGCCTTCATCGTCTTTAATTAGGGAGTTACTGTCGGATGTGCGGAGGGAAGCTCCACCACGAGTAGCCAGCTGAGAGCAAACTGATAATTTGCCAGTGACTCGCCGGTCGACGTTCTTATGCGTCCACCTTAGGCTAAGTGTGGAGTAGTGGCCAAACACTATTGCCACTACCGCTTCATCACACCGTATTGATTTTCACAACTCTAATAAACATATTACAGGATGGACAAATTACATTCTATCCAATAATTCATTCTTAATTTTTTATCAATTAGTAGTGATTTTTTTTTCAAGAATGGTAGTTGTGAGAGGTAGAACTGGTTAAATAACAGCTTAGGTTAGTGTTACTGGTGGTGAGCAGGCCACGATCCCTCCTCTCATATGTTATCATATCAGGGGGTTTCCCTTAAGAAAGACAGATGCCTTATCAACGTTAAAGACACATTACCTACCAAAATCTCATTTGCATTCCTCCCCAGAATCTCATGCACGGGTATAGGTAATTAAGGGAAAGTTAAGTCCATATTACACCTCCCGGACACCCGCCCTCCTGGCTGGTTGGTTGTTTGGGCTTTAGGCCTATCAACTGCCAGGGTCATTAAGGCCGTCAACATCAAGCTACATCCACCAACCTTAACACCTTCTTCAGGAGTCAAGGATAATTTTAAGACAACATATAGTCTCACTACGTATGTGACCCATAGCGCCCTCCTACCTTACCCGAGTCCGCCACCTCAAGCTGTCTCCCCCACCTTCTTGTGATTCGTCATGTAGAAGCCTTGAGCTCACAAGTATGGCAGTAGGAAGTGAGGATGATTACTTTTGACCTCGACTTTATGTTTGTTATGAGTCCTTCCTTGTACTACTCAAAGACCTTCAGCTACTCAATCCTCCGATATATTATAGCACATATCCCTCTATTTTGGTTTACGAGCTTAATCAATCTCTCACTTATGTTTACATTTTTAATCAGTTCATCCTTGACTTTATCGTTCCTAACATTACAGGAGATATATACAACTGTCATTGATCTCAGAATCTAACATTTAACATTGTAATATTTTGGTATTTACATGTAAATATTTATTTGAACATTTATCTGTACATTACCATTTAACATCAGACATACATCACCTCATATCTTGCAAACATTTATTATTTACAAGTTATATGTTTAATATGATCAAATTATTATTCTAAAATTATTGGAAAATTTTTCCTAAAAATTTCCATAACTGCTGGATGTCTACAGTAGAAGTTATAGGAAATAAATCTGAGCATTAAACATAAACTAGCAGTTCAGTGTTTTCCTGAAAGGTTCTTTTGTCAGTTTCCTTTCAATATAACCTGCCATCAGTGTTTACCTTCCACGATGGCTGCTCGAATTAAAGATAGCTAAAAAATCAAAGGCATTTAATAGAAAAAAATTATCTAGTTGAAGATAAACGTGTTAGTGAACTCATGATAATCAGTAAATTTACCAATAAAGAACAAAACAGAAAGAAGCGGAACAGTAAAAATTATCACACTAACTGTCCTGTTGTTCATGGGCAGATGGAAGTCAGTTCTGTAACAACCGAACCTCATACACGGAAATGAAGCTCTATTTGTGGGTAATGGAACATAACTTTTCTCAAACCTATATTACTAATGAACTTGAATACACACCAGTATCTCCCAAATTCAGAAATGTTGTATAGGCTTTTCTAATAGAGGGTATTTTTTTTATTCGAGACCCTAAATTATTACAATATTTTAGAACGTGCAAGGATCAGATTTTATTCCTATTTTTAGGTTGGCCTATATTACTCGTCCTAAAACACGGTAATAATTTAGGGCTCTCGAATAATAAATGCCCCATTATATATATAATGTATCATTAATAAAAAAAAATACGTTTCACTACTTAGAAATGAAAGTCCATAGGTCAGTAAAGGGTTAGAGATCGGTTCGTCAGTGGAACTCATCGATGACCACAGATAGCGCTGTGACTCACCCAGCGGGTGGCGCAAACACGTTGTTTGAGTTGAATAAAAAATAAAAAGGACCATTTGAAGCGAAGAATCACTCGTCTTAAGTAAATTGAAAAACTCATTTAATAGTTGATGTTCAATTTATTAATGAACAACTATTGAACACAAATTAATTACCAAAAGAACAAAGACTAACGAAAATAATGCGAAATAACTATAACAAAATGGCGGAGTCCTGCAAACTTGGAGACGGTAAATTACATATGACGACAGATGCAATAAATGAGCCAAATCAAACCTAACTTAATTAAGAAATATTGTGAGAAGATTAGGTGTAAGGGCGGAAACGATCTTCCTGCTCGTTACCGCTGCTTATTCGCTTATTTGCTGGTGCGACCAACACTTAGGGGGGTTGGACAGAAGTGAGAACGGCAGCGACTACCTGTGTCACGGGCAGATCCACTCCAGCAGCCATACAGTCACTATCTAGCTACCCCGCTGTTCGTCAAATTCTGGCTGTGATCTCATCAAGGCTCTCGACTCGTGGGCTGTGTCACCAGACCTTCACCTATCGACTGTCAATTCCTGGACCCCATACCACTACCACCCCATACCACTACCGCAGCTGTTACGACCGTCAGTTCATCTCCTCCATCTGTGCCGCCTGTGTCTCTCTGTAGCAAGACATCGGCCGCTGCCGCTCGAGTGAGGAAGCCTGTCTGGACCATCCCCAGGGCCGCTGCCGTAGGAAATATCTGTTCATTATTTGATTCTTTTGTTGTTTGATTCCTTTAATTGCTGACTCTCCTTAATTGTTTGCTCCCTTTGTTTGCTTCCATTTATTGTTTGACCCCATTAATTGTTTGACTCCCGTAATTGTTATTTGATGTTTGTTGAGTGGTGTCAGAGTTTTGTGTTATATTTTTTATAGTAAAGAGATGTCAATCTCAAACGGTTGTTTGTTATTCCTCAGAAAACCTTGGTCCTTGACTTTCCTTTATTAAGACCCTGATTGGTCTGGTAAGGGATTTCTATCCGTAAGTCCCAGGCCCTTACATTAGGTTACTCTTTGGTTGGTTCGGATGTTTCATTTTGTCCACCATGACAATGGTAAAGGAAGGTAGGTGTGGCTTGACCAGGGGACATGTGTTGCGTGTACAGTATATAGAGCTGTCTCGGGAATCATAAACCATAAAAGTGTGTATCGGCCTCTGCTTCCCTACTGCCTGCTTGTAGCAACTCATCACTCGGATATTATCCCAAATGAGCTTCTAAATCATCACATGGCTCTTGTTTGTATCTATGAATTTGTCTGAAATATTTTACTTACAATTGTGATGTAGAAGGTACTTATCGATCCTGTGAGGATTGTAGACACCCAGGTAGGGATGCCCGTGACTGTAGACAGAGCTAATGAAGGAGCATACAGGTTCATGCCCATGTAGCCGAATTTAGTGAGGAGGCAACATAAAGTTGTCAACAATCGCATCAGTCTTGATCCATACCTAAGCTGGATATACTGCAAGACAAAGCAACAATCAGATACTGTATTAGTAAAATGTATACAAAATGAAAAGGAATATTTGACATTTGATAATGAATACGATTCATCAGAGAATTAACCAACAAGGGGACTCTTATTAACAACATATTGTAAAATTTAACAGAAAACATCGGCAAAAACCTTACGTTGACCTACTAACTTGCCTCATTAATGGAGACGAGTTTGAGTTCGGAGAAAATCGGAATTACTACTGTACCGACAAAGAGACCACCTGGGATGTGGCTAAGCATGGTCATGCAGAATTGTGTGCCAAAGAAATACATCTCCGTTGGACAACCTGAAAAAAGCGCTGATTGTTAATAGGAGGCAAATTAATAGGCACAAAAATTTATTTAAACATTGAGTTACCTCCTTCCGTGCCAGCTAATAAAATATTGATCATGATCAGATTTGCCCTTCATTTCTTCCATCAACCCTCACAACATAAGTGGATCCTTTTAAAGTTCTAGACTATCAACCAAAGTCTACTTTAAGTGTTTCACAGAACATTTTTACATCGTTCTACCTATTGTATAATCGAATTTCTTCTTTTTTTTGTGCAAGTCTAATCTCAAATTATTATGATGGAATATTTACAGTGTTTCTCTAAAGAACTATATTAGAATATGATGACTGACTGGCGCCTCCAAAATTAACAATACATAATGGGAGTGGCACCATCCTATTAATGCTACACTTAAGAGTGGCACCTTCCTATTAATGCTACTCATTGGAGTAGCACCATCCTATTAATGCTACACTTAAGAGTGGCACCTTCCTATTAATGCTACTCATTGGAGTAGCACCATCCTATTAATGCTACACTTGGGAGTGGCACCTTCTAATTAATGCTACACTTGGGAGTGGCACCTTCTAATTAATGCTACACTTGGGAGTGGCACCATCCTATTAATGCTACACTTGGGAGTGGCACCATCCTATTAATGCTACACTTGGGAGTGGCACCATGCTATTAATGTAACACTTGGGAGTGGCACCTTCTAATTAATGCTACACTTGGGAGTGGCACCATCCTATTAATGCTACACTTGGGAGTGGCACCATGCTATTAATGCTACACTTGGGAGTGGCACCTTCTAATTAATGCTACACTTGGGAGTGGCACCATCCTATTAATGCTACACTTGGGAGTGGCACCATGCTATTAATGCTACACTTGGGAGTGGCACCATGCTATTAATGCAACACTTGGGAGTGGCCCCATCCTATTAATGCCACACTTGGGAGTGGCACCATCCTATTAATGCTACACTTGGGAATGGCACTTTCCTATTAATGCTACATTTGGGAGTGGCAATTTCCTATTAATGCTACATTTGGGAGTGGCAGTTTCCTATTAATGCTACACTTGGGAGTGGCACCTTCCTATTAATGCTACATTTAGGAGTGGCAATTTCCTATTAATGCTACATTTGGGAGTGGCGGTTTCCTATTAATGCTACACTTGGGAGCGGCACCTTCCAATTAATACTACACTTGGGAGTGACACCTTCCTATTAAAGCTACACTTAGCAGTGGCACCTTCCAATTAATGCTACACTAAGGAGTGGCAGGTTCCTATTAATGCTACAATTGGGAGTGGCACCGTCCAATTAATGCTACAATTGGGAGTGGCTCCATCCTATTTATGCTACACTTGGGTATGGCACCTTTCTATTAATGCTACACTTGGGAGTGGCAGTACCTATTAATGCTACACTTGGGTGTGGTAGCATCATATTAATGCTACACTTGGGAGTTCACCTTCCTCTCAATGCTACATTTGGGACTGGCACCTTCCTCTTAATGCTACACTTGGGTGTGGCAATTTTCTATTAACGATATACTTGGGAGTGGCAGCTTCCTAGTAATGCTACACTTGGGAGAGGCACCTTCCTATTAATGCTACACTTGGGAGTGGCACCATCCTATTAATGCTACACTTGCGAGTGGCACCTTCCTATTAATGCGACTCTTGGGAGTGGCACCTTCCTGTTAATGCTACACTTGGGACTGGCAGCTTCCTATCAATGCTACACTTGCGAGTGGCACCTTCCTATTAATGTGACTCTTGGGAGTGGCACCTTCCTGTTAATGCTACACTTGGGAGTGGCAGCTTCCTATTAATGCTACACTTGGGAGTGGCACCTTTCTATTAATGCTACACTTGGGAGTGGCACCTTCCTATTAATGCTACACTTGGGAGTGGCACCTTCCAATTAATGCTACACTTGGGAGTGGCAGTTTCCAATTAATGCTACACTTGGGAGTGGCAGTTTCATATTAATGCTACACTTGGGAGTGCAGTTTCCTATTAAACTTTCCTATTAATGCTACACTTGGGAGTGGCAGGAGTGGCACCATCCTATTAATGCTAAACTTGGGAGTGGCAGTTTCATATTAATGCTACACTTGGGAGTGGCAGTTTCCTATTAATGCTACACTTGGGAGTGGCACCATCCTATTAATGCTAAACTTGGGAGTGGCAGTATCCTATTAATGCTACTTCTGGGAGTGGCAGCCTTATTACACGCTACACTTGGGAGTGGCACCATCCTATTAATGTTACACTTGGGTATGGCACCATCCTATTAATGCTACACTTGGGGCGGGCACCATCCTATTAATGCTACACTTGGGAGTGGCACCATCCTATTAATGCTACACTTGGGAGTGGCAGCTTCCTATTAATGCGACACTTGGGAGTAACACCTTCCTGTTAGCTACACTTGTGAGTGACAGTTTCCTATTAATGTACACTTGGGAGTGGCAACTTCCTATTAATGCTACACTTGAGAGTGGCAGTTTCCTAATAATAGTACACTTGGGAGTGGCACCATCCTATTAATGCTTCACTTGGGAGTGGCAGCTTCCTATTAATGCTACAATTGGGCGTGGCACCTTCCTATTAATGCTACACTTGGGAGTGGCAGATTCTTTATTAAAGCTACACTTGGGAGTGGCTTCTTCCTATTAATGCTACTCTTTGCAGTGGCACCTTCTTATTAATGCTACATTTGGGAATGGTACTTTCCTAATATTACTACACTTGGGAGTGGCACCTTCCTATTAATACTACACTTGGGAGTGGCACCTTCCAATTAATGCCACACTTGGGAGTGGCACCTTCCTATGAATGCTACACTTGGGAGTGGCACCATGCTATTAATGCTACACTTGGGAGTGGCCCCATCCTATTAATGCTACACTTGGGAGTGGCACCATCCTATTAATGCTACACTTGGGAGTGGCACCTTCCTATTAATGAGACACTTATTAAAGCTACACTTAGGAGTGGCACCTTCCTATTAATGTTACACTTGGGAGTGGCACCTTCCTCTTAATGCTACATTTGGGACTGGCAGCTTCCTATTAATGCTACACTTGGGAGAGGCACCTTCCTATAAATGCTACACTTGGGAGTGGCACCTTCCTATTAATGCTACACTTGGGAGTGGTACCTTCCAATTAATGCTAGACTTGGGAGTGGCACCTTCCTATTAATGCTACACATTGGGATTGGCAGTTTCCTATTAATGCTACACTTTGGGAGTGGCATCGTCCTATTAATGCTATACTTGGAGTGGCACCATCCTATTAATGCTAAAATGGGAGTGGCAGTTTCCTATTAATGCTACACTTGGGAGTGGCACCTTCTTATTAATGCTACACTTGGGAGTCGCACCATCCTATTAATGATACATTTGTGAGTGGCAGTTTCCTATTAAGCGCTACACTTGAGGGTGGCACCATCGTATTAATGCTGCACTTAGGAGTGGCACCTTCCGATTAATGCTACACTTGGGAGTGGCACCTTCCTATTAATGCTACACTTGGGAGTGGCACCCTATTAATGCGACGCTTGGGAGGGCACCTTCCTATTAATGCTACACTTGGAGTGGCAGTTTCCTATGAATGTACACTTGGGAGTGGCAGTTTATTATTGCCATACTTGGGAGGGCAGTTTTATTAATGCTACACTTGTGAGTGGCAGCCTATTAATGTACACTTGGGATTGCAGTTTCATATTAATGCCATACTTGGGGAGTGGCAGTTTCAATTAATGCTACACTTGAGAGTGGCAGTTTCCATTAATGCTGCACTTGGGAGTGGCACCATCCTATTAATGTTTCACTTGGGAGTGGCAGTTTCCTATTAATGCTACTCTTGGGAGTGGCAGCTTCCTATTCATGCTACACATGGGAGTGGCACCATCCTATTAATGCTACACTTGGGTATGGCACCTTTCTATTAATGCTACACTTGGGAGTGGCAGCTTCATATTAATGCTACACTTGGGAGTGGCACCTTCCTCATAACGCTACACTTGGGAGTGGCACCTTCCTCTTAATGCTACACTTGGGAGTGGCACCTTCCGATTAACGCTACACTTGGGAGTGGCAACTTCCTATTAATGCTACACTTGGGAGTGGCACCTTCCTATTAATGCTACACTTGGGAGTGGCACCTTCCTATTAATGCTACACTTGGGAGTGGCACCTTCCGATTGCTACACTTGGGAGTGGCACCTTCCTATTAATGCTACACTTGGGATTGGTACCTTCCAATTAATGCTAAACTTGGGAGTGGTAGTTTCACATGCTACACTTGGGAGTGGCACCGTCCTATTAATGCTACATTTGGGAGTGGCACCATCCTATTAATGCTAAAATTTGAGTGGCAGTTTCCTATTATTGCTACACTTCGGAGTGGCAGTTTCCTATTAATGCTACACTTGGGAGTGGCAGTCCTATTTGTGGTACAATTGGGAGTGGCACCTTCCTATGATGCTACACTTGGGAGTGGCACCTTCTTATTAATGCAACGCTTGGGAGTGGCACCATCCTATTAATGATACATTTGGAGTGGCAGTTTCCTATTAATGAGCACTTGGGAGTGGCACCTTCCTATTAATGCTACACTTGGGAGTGGCAGTTTCCTATTAATGTACACTTGGGAGTGGCAGTTTCAACACATGGGGAGTGGCAGTTTGCTATTAATGCTACACTTGTGAGTGGCACCTTCCTATTAATGCTACACTTGTGAGTGGCACCTTCCTATTAATGCTACACTTGTGAGTGGCAGTTTCCTATTAATGTACACTTGGGAGTGGCAGTTTCTTATTAATGCCATACTTGGGGAGTGGCAGTTTTCCATTAATGCTACACTTGTGAGTGGCAGTTTCCTATTAATGTACACTTGGGAGTGGCAGTTTCTTATTAATGCCATACTTGGGGAGTGGCAGTTTCCTATTAATGCTAAACTTGAGAGTGGCAGTTTCCTATTAATGCTACACTT